AAGTGGAGGATAAGAGTTACACCAATAAGCAAATTATTAATAATCATGACTACATAAAAGGTATTTTCAACGATGTTCAATTTCGATTGTTCTAGTTGCTATTATGTCATCATAATTGTGTATTTTATCGACGAGTTTTTCATCTCCATAATAAGGCCTATTTAAGTCGGGAGAGTCATTTAATCGGACTTGCGGGTGTAATGGTAAAGATAGGCAGTTGCGAATAATTAGTGAGGTAGCACGAGAGAAAGAGAGAGAGAGAGAGAGAGAGAGAGAGAGAGAGAGATGGGCATAAAGTAGATAGTCAAGGATTTATGGAAGACGAGGCAGGCTATATACACGTGAAAATATGCTAGGCTAGGCCATCCATATAAATGCATCGAGACGGATGGATCGAATTGTAGCAACTCTCTTCTCCTCTTTTTTTTCGCCCTAGCGCGCACACACTCTGAGCTATCTGTATTCATGTGCTGAGCGCGACTAAAAATTCATCCATCGTACTTGCAATATGTACATCATGTAGTCCGACACATAGTTACGTTACGTATGCAATTATTGTATACACTTGAGTTTTTCTTACTCTCGCTCGTACTCTCTAACAGCAACTCAAGTCGCTCGAGTTTAGAATGATGGATTGCATTGTAATTGGTTTTTGCTCTGTTTGCACGATGTTGCGTGTGCGTATGTGTGTGTGTGTTTGTACTCTGTATGACGTTGACAGAGGGAGCACTACAAAACTTTCTACAGGGAATATCAGATTTTGATGTTTGAACTCTTTCTACTTTTTTGTTCTTTGTAAACGCTCGTATACGTATTGTGCGCGTCTCTCGCGAGGTAACGCTTTTTAATGAAATTCGCAAAGCAACTTTTACGCAAACACCCTTTTATGACTTTTGTTATTAAAAACTAGCTGTTCTCATGTAAATCTATAAAACGATAATCAAATTCTGCGATATATACGCAAGACGCACAGTTTTATATAAAAACGCATACATCGTTCAGAAGAAAAAGTAGCGCACGCCAAGTCGATTTCATTTTCTCCATTCGCAACAGTAAATCAAATTAGTATTTTTTTCCTTTTCCCTTTGCAGCGATTTTCGTTGCTATTCGAGACTTAGCGCCGCTATATTGCCGTCGTATTATTTGCAATACGCTGAGCCCAGCGTTTCTTCGAAAGAACAAGTTGAGGTAACGAGAAACGGCTAAGGAATTTGTTCAACGTTGCTCTTTAATAAAGTAAAGCTGATTGAGAGATGTTGCTATATCCTGAATTCATTGCATTAATTCTTCTGGCACTTTATACTTCTTAAAGCGGGTTAATTGTGCGCTTAATGGGATTTATCAAGTCAGACGCGCATCGCGCGTTCTTATCTTCTTTTTCATTTCTTGTCATATTGATTAACGTATTTAACATAATTTACTTTTTTAAAGTTTGATTTTTTAATTTTTTTTCTGACAAAAAATATATCGCACCGGAAAAATATGTATTAGTAGCACAGTTTTGCGTATTCCAAATTTATATTTTATCATAATCATATACGAACAACTCGCTGCTAGTTTTATAAAATGAGTTTTAAAACAATGAAACTGCAGCCTATTTTTTTCTACTTTCATTATTTTTAAAATAACTCATATCAATGATGATAAAATTGAGTTTTTAATACTAAAATCTCAACTCGAAACTATACAAGCTATATTTATTTGCCACCGCATAACAGCATATCACGTGACTATATCTTAGCCAATGAGATAATGAATAAAATTCTTCAACATGACATACAACATATTTTTATAAGGAGATAAGGAGAAATTTAATAGGATAGCTTTTACTATGGAACACGAAGTATAATTTGCAAAAAATTTTTAATAAATATCTTTTAGTTCATGTCGTCGAAATTTTACTCATGTAAATTCCGCGTCAATACGTATAAAATTAATTTAAACAATTGGATTTTCGCTAAGCTTAATCACAAATAAGATGATATGCTTTTTACGAGATACGCTAAGATCATTAATCTACTTGTAGGTACTTCACCACATAGGTATATACAAATGCATAATGAGATGATCACTAATGCGGGTCTCGTAGCGGCACTAAATTCTTGCAAATCTTATAGACGTTTCAGACGCCGCTAGATAATTACAGGTTACACGTTCACGGTAAATTCAGCAGTGTACGCCACCAGACTGCATTTACAGCTTTGGAAACATGAGCATTTAACGTAAACTCGTTACGGTTATGCCGATAATTAAATGTGCCCTGCGAAACTTCTCTATTCGGCATTAGTATGTATTTCTTTGCTTCAATATAATGTTCCTACGTGCCGAAGTCAATTCATTGCATTCACTTGTAGTGCATTTTTATATTCAAATTATACTGTTTCAAATTGAATTACAAATAATCACTTACTGTTCACTATTAAAAAATCAAATAACTTTATTCCGATACTATATTCATACAATTCTAAAATTACTACAAATTAATTGTTGACATAATATTATGGAAAGCGATAACATAAAAATGTCAATTTGGAGTTGCTTTATAGTTGGAAAATTCACGAATCATTCGTATTTTATTGAAAAAATATATTATTTGAATAAGATAATTTTTCTATTATTATTATTATTATCACAATATTAACAATACTTACATGGAAAATATATCCATATTACCTACAGAAGATTCCATAGTGTTGAACTTTTTAAGATGTTCAAAGATTAAGTGAAAGTTAAGACAACTACTTAATTTTGGAATACTATATAGCTGAGAGACATTCACATGGATTTTTTTCAATATTTTTTCTGTTGAAATTTTAAAAATAATCAATCATAAAGTTCACCTATTATATACGAGTACTTATGGAGACCGTCATTCAAAAATAATTTGTTTGGAGTGCAAATCGAAGAAAAATTATGAAATTGTAATAAAAAACATAAATAAATTAAAAATCAATATGTAGGAACTAATCTTAAAGTCTCCACGGACTTTTTCCCTTATAAAAAAGTCCATTACCAGATGTTATGAAGCCAAGATAAATGCTATCTGATTGCCTCATGCAGTGACCGTGTTTTGAATCTAACCTAATCTAATCTAATTTAAAAATATTTCATCAAAATTATGCTAATTTCTGCTTTGGTTTGAATATAAATAAAAAAATTATTTTAATATTTTTATTTCAAATTATGTACATATATTATATTTTATGTAAAAAATTAATTTTTTCATAAATAAGTTTTGAGAAAAACGCTATTTCCTTCATTTTAATTATTGTTAGAAAACATAACATTTAAAAGATATATATCCCTCTGCATTGTTTGTAATCTTTGACAAGAATCCTGAAAATAGTCAAAAAGTGAGGTGTTGTTCGCTTTTTAAAAATTGGAGTTGACGTATCTTTTTTGTATAACTTTACGTTGTAAAGATGTATTTTCTTTCACTTTCAAATAGAGATAGTTTTCAGATTAATCAGCCATTGCGATCACAATAAATAAAGTGCAAAGTCAAATCTTGGATAAAATTAGTATATACCTGCGCAGAAATGTTTCTAAATCATGACTAGCCTTATGTAGCCTTAGATTCGATTTTGGGACTCCCTCATAATTTATCTTAGTGATCATCCAAGAGAAAATACAAGTGTCAAAAATTATGTTTATAAAGAGCTGTATTCATAATTATTAAATTTTTTAAAATAGCCGAAAATCTACTTGGAACATATGTAATTCTATAGAACATTTTATCTTTATAATGTATTTTGTTGATTTTTACAATTATTCATTTTCGTGACAACGATATGCTTTTTATCACGCAAATAAATAAACTACTACTCAACGATCGTGCTATACTGATGTGCATGCCCCCTCTACGATTGACATGTGCGAGTGAGACAGACGATGTACTTTCTAAATCGACATTTAGATGGCGCGTCGCCTCAGCTGCTGTGTAAAAGTAATAGGAGCCGCGCGTTCCGCAAGCAAAGTAGACCGACGCAAGAGATAAGAGTAGCCACGGTAGCACCTGAAAGCATACTTACCTGGCGCAGAGGTTACCGTGATCAACAAGGCGGTTCCTCCAGGGTGAGGCTCTTCCATTGCACTACGGTTGAGCTGACCCTTGCGAATATCCCTAATGTGGATATCTCGGGCGTATAATTTTTGTTAGCCGGGACTGCGTTCGCGCTATCCCGAAGTAAACCAATTCCAAAAATAAATTTCGTTATCACTTCATTGTTAAACTTTTACAATTGCAATAAGAGTAAATTAAAAAATACTTGGAATTCTTTAAAATGTCAATTGCAATTGGATATTTTGTGAATTGTCTATATAAGACATGTCTTAAGAAAGAATACTGAAAACATGCAGCTTGTTTTATAAAAATTGCCACATTGAACTATCGATGTTCGCTTTATCGCGGAGAATGTGATTGTGCCCTTGATAACTATAAAAAAAGATGAAAACAGCAAAATCCTTACCAGTATCCATCTACGGATAAAAGCGATAACATATATAAAAAGTCTTGATGAACTTTTGTAATCAATTTAAATCCTTCAATGTACCGTGAGAGCAGCACTCATATCATCGCTAATTAATGGAAAGGCATATTGTTAAGTGAAAACAATTGTCATCGCACATAGCTTTTCTAGGAAAAGTGTACGAGAAAATGAAATCACTTTTATATAAAGTCATTAAAGTGTTGAAATAATGGCTACTTTGAGAAATAAAAATAGCTTTCATGAGCCAAAATAATTAATTCGATTTCGATGATTCGATATGGCTTTTTAGATCACTTTCTATAAATTATTTAAATACGCTGTTGACGCGCGCGCGCGCACACACACACAACACATAACTAAATAGAACGTTATTTTATATGAATTTTAATTTAAAGAATAACACATAACAAAAGCGCTTTTCCATTACCGTTGAGGTATTTTCACGAAATGTCGCAATAAAAAAACTGTTGTATCACAAAGTTATATAAAAAACTATGTTATCTGTTTTAGGACTCAGAATTATGCATATCTCTGGGAATGAGTCTGCAGTACTTGCGCGTCTCAGTGGTATGTTGGCTTGCCGCGATGTGCCATCACCTGTATGCTACCGTTGCCTCTATCCCCAGCCGCGACGACCCGCCAACGTACCTCAAGTACAGTATGTTCGCCTGGGGCGCACCGCTCATCAACCTCGGGTTTGCCACACTGCTGCAGATACACGAGACCAATGACATTTGGAAAGTAGACGATCTCATGCCCTTTAATTGTTGGTGAGTCGCCTCTTTCTCGTTTTCTTCGCGCACTAACTATATACTTCACACTAAGCTCGAGGGCATTGACAAATTTCTAGCTAATTCCTTCTCTTAAAAGTTTCTTTTTCTACACGAGAAATGAAATTTATAATGAATATAATGGAATTACAAAATTGTTTACGCAGGTTCTTAGGCGTAAAAGCAACGGTTTACGCGTTCGGTGTACCAATAATTTTACTGCTTCTGTCGTCTGGTTACTACCTTTTGAAAGCAGCCATCGTAGCAAGGTGGGTACAATATTAAATGATAATATTTCAAAAAACATACCTAAAAAACTAAAAAACAAGTGAACTTACGATAGTACAGAAGGTATCTTGTACATCCAAATACATTTAGTTTTTTTTTACTTTTGATGCCGACGATGAAAAAAAAGGTACACGTGCAGCATGCAGCTAGAGATAAAGCAGCGGGAAAAAATGAAGAGAAGACGGACGCTGCAGTTGATGCTTTTCTTGAAAGTCAGTCTTATCATTGGTTTAGTCGCTGGCTGCGGCGTGGCGTCACGCGTATGGAAAGTGCCGTTCTTGTGGGCGATTTTTTGCACAGGCCACTCTTTACAGGTCAGTAAAGTCTCCAATCATCGTTGATGCCTAGTTTGTCTTTTACTCATCAGCGTAAAGATGCCTTCCGTGTTTATTATTTCTACAATTTTGGAAGAAGTTGGAAATATTTAACTTGTAATTTATCTGTTGCTTAAGGGACTTGCTGTAGCACTCTCGGTAGCTTGCAATTGCAGAGTGCTAAAGGTTTATTCACGAAAATCTTACAAGCAACCAAGAATTCAGGTACGATTTTATTTCGTGCATCTCAATTGAAATATGCTTTTGGTAGTATAACTTCTAATGTGTGTATTTTCACGAATACCATAAAATGACCATTGCATACCAAAAAAGAAATCAGTGTATTTTGGATTTTAATTTGAAATTTTTGTCTTTCAATATGGATTCAGATCGTGTAATTTTATATTTCAGATGGCAAAATCTTCGAGTATGCAACTTCTTGCTCCAGCACCCGATCCGGTCTAATTTTCAAGTTAAAAGTTATATATTAAAACTTGTGATAAGTTGACACTTTTTATAGTGATTTTATTTTATAATTTACAGGAAACAAATTGAGTAAGAATTTGATTGACTTTGAATTAAAATTATTTTGATTCATTGATCGTACAAATCCTGTCGTGTTCTTTTACAATTGAAACATTTTTTAAGCGAGTAACAAAAAATATAAGTAAATAGATTTTCATCTGATCAACCAAATAAAAGTTATATCAACTATTATTTTATATTATTGCAATGTTCAAATAAGAATTGCAAAAACGTATACAAGATTTCAATCAAAAGCATTGCGTAGAAATAAATTCATCTAATCAAGTCTTGATTTAGTACATGTGCATTATGCTTTAATTAAAAGACTGTTATTTAAAAAATGTTACTTAATAGCGAACTAAAGTTTTATAATAGTTTTTGTAAAAGTGTCGAGAATTTCACAAGTTAAGCAACGGGAAACAATCAAATACACACACATATCGCGTTATTTTCATGATTGTAAATAACGTACGTTATGAATTTCACTTATTACCGCGGATAATTGTGATCAAAGAAGCATACTACATGAAATTAAGGTTTTTTATAAAATAAGAATCATGATATTTTAATGTAGCGATATGATATAAAGATAATTGATCTCATTGTATTATTATGGAGAATTCGAATTAATTATAATAAATTGAACGGACAATGAAAGGAATTTTGTTGATATTTAAGTTGGCATAGTTTCCGTTGACATTATATTAAATTAATTTATGCTGATATTGCGAATTACTTAAACTAGAAACAGATAAATAAGAGAAATAACGAATGAAAGCAATTGGAATAAGATGGTTAGGGAGAGAGTTATATTTCATAGTTCTATAGAGAGAAGACGAGTTTGAAATTTTATTGGTGTTTTTAATGAAAAAAATGACCATTATTATGTTTAACGATATAGACAACTGTAAATATTTCGGTGATTTATAATAAATAACATATCAACGATCACTTCAACGCATCTTCCCGTTAATTGTGGTTGAAATTGTTTATTATACAATATTAGAAACTTCTATCGTTCTCACAAAAATAACAATGAATAATCAGTTTAATACAATAAGAATCCTCTGATCGCTTTGTCCATAGTGTGAAGTCACAAATAGGCAGTGATCGCTTGTAACACATAAATCTAAACAATTAAATCATGTATACTCAAAACCAACAATAAATATTTTAAAAACAATACAAATAGAATTGTCGCCATTGTATTTCATTTGTTAATAAAACAAATAACGTAATAAAGCATTAATCAATTTGGGAAAGCCGTACAATTCCAAGAGCAGTAAAAAATCCTAAAGCATAGTAGGTGGTTCTTTTTCTCTGTCAATTGACGTGCTATTGGTACGATTTTTCTTCTTTCCGCTCGGTTCGCGCGCACGGGAGAGCGATTTTCTTCGGAACAGCGTCGTCTTTCGTTAACATCAGTGTCGACTTAACAATGACTCCAGCTTACAAATGAAATATTCGTACAGGTAGGTAGAGAAAGCAACGAATAGTGCAAGTCAAACAAAGAATAAGAATGCTTCAAGTGGCAATGGCGCACATCCGAACGAGGTTCATACAATGACTTTAGTTGAGCCACTTTGCATCAGAACGAGAGCGTTCTTGACGCAAACGTGTCACGTGCCGCGGAAAAAGAAGCTTTTTATGGTTGCAAGGAAGGTTCTGTTTTTTTTTTGTGTTTGTATTTTGAAATAAATGTGGCTCACGTGGCTACATAAGCTTGTTTAAAAAACAACGTGTGTCGCTTAAGATACGAGTGTCATTTCGATAAATACAGAAATAAATAAAACGATTTGTAGGCGTATTTACTGCATATATAATAGGGTTACCGCTTGACGGATATTATGGATTTTGTTTCGGTTATGAAAAAAGTAAAATTAACAGAAAGTTCATGATTACTATTCGTTACATTTCTGCATTAAAGATATTTCAACAGCTTCTACCCCATAATTGACGCGGAAACCTTACTACTGAAAAATTGTGGATAAAAAATATTTTATTCTTTGATAGTAGTATGGACGATGAAATTGCTTTAAAACTGTATAATTACTTCTGTCGACGCATATATCTGTGTTTTTATGTCAATCAAGATCGGCATTGCTGCTACAAGGCTTGTAATTCATTGGACGACGTGATCACATTTTACAGTTTGGCGTCTATAAAGACCATACCATCCTTACTGTATATAGAGTCCAATCTGATGTACAATAAAAATGCTTATACATATATATTCCATTGATTTTAACTGGAAAATTAACTTAAGATGGCCGACTACTACCCTACCAATTCCATTTAAAATATACCGTAAGCTACATTCGAAACGAGACTAGAATGTGGACTACAGCAAATGTAGTTCCAGAAAGGAGGTTAGTTAATGTTATCTTCGTAATTAAAACGCGCGTGAGTTATTAGTGGTTACGCTTTACGTTCATCATTTGGCTCGTCGAAAATTTACTTGAATCTCGCAATTGCGTTCTGAGAAAACTGAAGTAATTTAAAGTTATAAGTTTTGAATAGGTGCAGTATACTTTTACTACTTATTTGTATGTTGAAGGATTTTTTTACGAAATGAAATTGGAAAAGTCAGCAAAAAGCAAACTTTCATCCTTACACCTTGAACAAGACATATTCATCCAATTTACAAATGTACTCATTTCCGGAATCTCGCATGGAGGGCGCGTGTATGTACTATGTGCATCGGAAATGATACCCCTAAGGTGCCATCTGCAGTTGCAGTATATTTGCCAAATAACTCAAAGATGCCAGGGCGTGAAGAGACTACCGGTAGCTGCTCACTCATTGTCAAGCTTATCACCCCGGCGAACAGGGAAGCTCTTTGCTTAGAGCTTCCTAATGTATTGAACCCTGGAGTAAAGCTGTCGACCTGCATGATTTGTGAAAGCGCGAATATGCGGAGTACGTCCAGTTGATAGATCGCGAATTCGTTGTGATTACAGAGGCCTTCGCGAGAATTACAGTGTTGGCTGTCGGCTCGGAGCGCAGTTTACTCCTCTTGATACAGTTGGTCGTATCAAATGATGGCGCGTTCCAATTTAATTCATTCAAAGTTATATTTCTATCTTTTTTATCCATCATTCATTTCGACTTCATACCATAAAATCAAAACACAAAGTAATTCACACGAAAAATATTTATCTAATTTTTGTTCAATTCCATTAAACTTGTATTTTTGTCACCATACGTATATTTTTTCAAATAAATATTCGCTCATCGTTAATAACTGTTTCAAAACAATCATTACATAACAGATATGCAAGCACAACGAAAAAAAGTTTGTTCATAACTTGGGGATAATATTTCTATCCCAGTTTTAATTAATCAACCATGTATACAATAAACTTGCAAATATTCTTTCACCCCTCCAACGATATAAAATGTTTCATGATTCTTTTTTATAAGCATATAAAACTTAGGTAAAACATTCATCTTTTATCGGTCTATTTTTTAATATGGCATTATAATAAATACGTTTTTTACAAAATAATATATCATCTATCGATCACTAATGTCAACATTAATACGCAATGATAAAAAGAAAGTCTGATCCAATTTACTTTTCTGTCAGTGGCTATTATAAAATGGAAATGTTTTATCAGACTACCTAAAGCTTTTATGGCCTCTAAAATTGATTCAAGAAAGTACCGAGTGACAGTTTTGAAAGTAATACCGATGCTCGTAAAGAAGCAGAAGTTGATGTTTGAATTGTATGCGGCTGAACGGGCGTGAATTCTAAGCGTTGATTCGTCAGCTTATAAGCGCGCGCCTGGGTTCTCTCCTTGTTTCAAACTTATATTACTAAACTTTGCAAACTAGCACTCTTTCCTCGTTCTCTCTAAGATGCACGTGCCGTGAGCTCTGAAGACTCTGTAAACCATTTGTTGGAAATTTCTTTTAGTGCTTAATTACTGCTGACATATTGGAAAGATATTTATTTGTTACTGAATGGATTGCTGATAGTTTATATGATGCAATCCAAATATTCTATTTTACTTTTAAGAATTTTCAATTATATAAAAAAATATGTAACTGAGTAGGCTAAACTGTTCAACTCGACTGACTGGTTGTCTATTTATCACGGAAATACAACGTAATGCAAATTTCAAAGCAACAATGGATTCCAGTATACAATAATAATACACATTCGTTCGTGTCAAATTTGAGAGAAATGCACGGGTCACTCGCATTTTCGAATAAACTGAAACACGCTCGCAGATCTATCAAACTAGCTTGACAAACGACCTTCGGGATCGCATCCCTCATCAATAACGACCGATAATCATACGATCTACATCGTCGGCTTTCTACTCAACCCTCAAATTCGATCAGCCGATTTGCCATGCTCTAAACGCACGCACTCCTGCTCTCTGCTGTGCCGTTAGATTTGCTTTATTTGCCTCGTTCGCGTTCATTTGAATATTCACGAAGTGTAGCTTCGAGACGCGCGCGCTCATATGTAAGCAGGCCGCGGCCAAGCGCGCGCGTGGCTGTTTTGCATTTGTCAAGCAGCCTATGCGCGCCGTGTATTTACCTGGCTAAACAACGCCACTCGCGCAAATGCGCTGCTTTCGGTATCCTTCGCGTAGTTTCGGCGGGAAATCTAATATACCAGCTCCAGATAAGCGAATCTGCTATACGCAGTTCGTATGCGCTGAGATTTTATTGCGCGACAAAATGCTCAATTTCACAGCGAAGTGAACGCCGGAATATGACCTGCCATATCGCCCGAGCAGGACGTTTTTGTTGCGCCGTATGCTATTGCCGTTCGCGATATGTCGAGAACCACCTGTTATAGCTTTCCGAAGGATTTCATTGGTCAATTTTTGTTTTACTTTTACGAGTGTTCAGAACGAATTCGCCTCGAAGAATATTCGAATTTAAGCGAATGTATTTGACGTTAACGAATCAAGCTGAAAAACGGATCTTCACTACATAATTAAATGAACTTATAATATTCTATGTGAGTGCGTGATAAATCTGAGAAGAAAAGACAGCCAGAGAATGAAAATAGAATATCAAAGTAGCGAATAGTGCGATATGATTTAGGTCAAACGTTTCAAATAAAATGCACGAATGTTATTAGAAGATAATGTATAAAACAATGAAATCGTGCGAAGTAAAGTGGAGCTTATTCGTATCTTTTTAACATCTAGCAAGCTTTTATAGTTAAAAGCATCTCGCGTATAATTTACACTTTCAGGTTTATATATAGGAAAATAAGTGCTACAGTCGTTCTAAATTTATTCTCTTTCGTTCTCTGTGCACGATTTTCCAAAAATAATAAACAAAGAGTTCGAACGGCAAAAAGTCAAGTAACCGAATAGCCGAAAACCGCGTGAAAAGCCAATGCGCGATCGAATTATCGGTTTACAAGCACGATCTCATTACGACAGAAGTACGTACAGCGGAAATCGAAAATTTCGGATGCTTGTTAATTGAGTTTTACGGAAGGGATTGCTCGTGTACGTGCGACCACACGTGTATAGAAACGTGCGGGATATTTGCATTGTCATGTGAATTGTCATCACATGGAATGATCTGACCCCATTGCATAACCGTCCGCTACCTCGTTGCGAGCCAAACATGTAAATAGGTCGGACATGAAAACACGATTAGTCCCTACGTATAAATACTAGATGTATTTAATCGCTTCTAATGCATATTTGTTCAGTATCTGCCAATTCATTCCATTCCAAATAATTCCATTCACCCTAAACCATTTTAATTTTATAAAATATAACTAAACTAAATTAATCCATAGGTGGTGTTTCAAAACTTTTTATTAAAAAAAGTATAGATTTTTTCATATTTTGTGTGCTCCAAATTTTCTAAATAATGAAGTTATATATGACTACTGAATTTTTATAATGAAGCGTGCATTAAAGATTCATTATTGAAATAGGATATTACCTTTCTGTATTCTAATCCCCAAATCGTATCTTCGACTCTTGTTTCTTGTTCTCATGCGGCAAAATACCGTTCTTAACTCATACGAAAAGTAACTGAACTTTTTAATGAAACTTGCCTCTGGTTCATACCGCAAACATCTCGTTTTGTCTAAAAAGTCTTTGCGCACCTGCTAGAAAATGTTCTGTTTCAACGTTGGTTGACATTTACCCAGTATGACCTCTATGCGATTTACCAAAGTTTTACCAAATAGAGTTAATATTGTAA